CCCCAAAACCCCAAAACCCCAAAACCCCTGAAGAAGGTGTCAAAATAGAATAATTTTTTAAGAAAATGCCGACTAGTATTCCTTTAGTTGACAGAATCACAATGGGCCCACTCCAAAAGTATGAGCAATATGGCAAATTCCCTTGGAAACTTTTTGTACATATCATAGTACTGCTTTTCTCTTCAGCACAAATCCTCCTAATTATTAATATGACAGGAATTTATGCTAGATCAATGGGAAGAGTTATCCTGAAGAACTTCTTTGATGAAGAGATTGATTTCTCAGAAGTTGATTATGATCATCGCAAGTTTATTTATGAACAAGAAGAACTTAGAACCATCATCGCTGATTCAGTAGCAAATTATTATGAGATAGCTGGTGATGAGAGTACGTCCTTGGAAGATTATGGCCATTTTACCATCATGAATGAGGCATCTCTAGAAGAAATCATTCTCCCTCCCAGACTTAATGTGTATTTTATCAGAGGACAAGGTCGAAAGCAATTTCAGAATGAACTTGTTTATAACCTCAGAGAGGATGACCTTGGTCCCTTTAATCCAGACTCAGAAATTGACTTCCAAGAGTTCTTATCTAATGTTACTAATATCAAGATTTTGTACAAGATCAAGAGTTGTATTCCTTCAGATGTCACTACTCCTATTGATTGATTCCAATGGCATATTAACCAAGTTTTTGATTTTGATGCTAGAAATCACTTCACCTTCAGTGTAGATTGGGAGTATATATACCTTGATCTCTTTGGAGTAAATGAACTAGACGGTACCACTGCTAATTTCATGACCACTTATTTCTGGCTTAATGGTCTTAACATTGTGTTTGCAATCTGGTCACTTTTTCTCCAAGTTATTCATTTAAGTGCTGTGTCTTCAGCTTATACCAAAGTGAAAATGCGTTATAAAAGCTCGAAAGAAGGAAAGAGTAATTACAGGAGAAATCTCCAAAAGAAGAGGCAGTCAACTCTAGATAATCTTCCCTTTGAAGCCAACACTCGTATCAACAATTCGGTTACCAGCTTCAGCTCTCTCAATTCACTAAGTTCTATGGGAAGTATTAGGCAAACAGAAGATTCTGGATCAAGGATTGGAAGCAACATGGGTAAAACAACTATTTCATCAGAATATGACGAATCAATTTCACTTGATTGGAACTCACTTACTCTTTCTGATAGACTAAAGATATATAACCCATGGACTTTCTTCATAATCTTTGGAGATGTGTTATTGATAATCGGATCTGCCTTTTACATTGTGAATAATGACCAGCCATTCCAAGGAAATAATCACATTCTCGGTCTCTCTGCCTTTGCTCACTGGGCATCTTGTCTAAAATACATCGAAGGAGCAAAGGATTACAACATTATAGCAAATACCCTGGTGCACTCAGCCATGCTTGTGCTTAAAGCAGTTCTAGGAATATTTCCTGTCTTCATAGGATTCGTCCTTCTTGGGTTATGCTTCTTTATAGACTCAAATCTATTTGGATCTGTCTCCACAATAATGTATGCTTTGTTCTCTCTAATGAACGGAGACTCCCCGTTTGTGATCTGGTATGATATTGCACAGCACCACTTCTTATTTGGAAGTATCTATATGTACGTTTTCTTACTCTTCTCGATTATCGTGATTGAGAATGTATTCATCGTCCTCATCGGAGATGCTTATGTCAAGAGCAAGTACTTACAACAGACTGACTGGATCAAGGAGACAGATCACTTGGGTAATGTCATACAGGAAGATGAAGAAGCAGAGGACCCTCTTAAACCATTCTATAATAAAACTCAGAAGGAAATCGAGTCCAGAAAAGCACTAGTCAAGATGTTGCAGGAAGATAAGGAAATCCTTATGAAGGAATACTACAAAGATATTCAGCAGGAAAAGTTGAAGAGACGTTCCTCGAAGGTCGAGGTTGAGGACAGTATTGAGGAAGAAGAAAGTTCTCTGAATGAGAGACTCCCACTGAGTACACTAGGCATGACTCTTTTGAAGTATCTTACTTATCTTAATGAGAAGTTCGAAGATGATATTAACGAGAAATCATCAAAGTTCCCTTTCCCTGAGCTTGTCAAGAAGGAAAAAGAGGATATTTACGACAGGTACTGCAACTGTTACGATAGAATTCAGAAGGAATTCAAAAAATTCAAAAAGAGAAAACTTGGATACCAAGAAAAGCATAAGAACTTGGTCAAAGATATTAAGAAGATTCAAAAGATCGAAGAAGTGAAGGAAGAGGATTATTAATAGGCATTTCAACCTCCAACTTCTCATAAGGGGTTTTGGGGTTTTGGGGTTTTGGGGTTTTGGGG